ATTTACGGTTTACATTTCATTCTCCAATGCATTAAAGCTTTGTTAAGCCTTTTTACCAATCAAAAATACCTCCATAATGATATTGTTCTTGGATAGATTATCGTTATGCACATCAGAACTCCTGACTAAAGTGCAGTAGGTAGGCTGCAGATGTGTCAGAGCCCTGACCACCTCTGCTCTTGGGGAGTGGTCTGGCTCCTAGTAACCTCACTGCACCCAATGAACGTAATCATCTCTGTAACATGGAAAATCACTCGAGCAAATCCTTCTTCCAAAAGGTTATGGAGCCATAATCCTTACCTAATATACAGTAAAAAGTTTTGCCATTTCAGTAATGCATTTTAGGAAAATGCATCCTTCTCCCGTTTTGCACACAAAGCCTCTGGGTATGGTAAGAGAATTGTATAGAGGCTACATCTTCGCTTTTGATGGTGTGTCCAACTCTCAGGCCTCTAGTGTCAGTGCATTGAAAACATCTTCCGTGGGCTAATCAGGTCACGAGAAGCCTAAAAGAGCTTCCAGTTGCTTATCTGTGTTTTCCAAAGGTGCTGCAGAGTATGGCTGTTGTACACTAAGATTATTTGACGTAAAAGTACGTTCTGAAACACCTTTTTTTTTGTTTAGTCACATTTGTATTTTCTAATTCTGTGTAAAAATGGAAACTTAGTGATGCTACTTTTAGTGTTGAGATTTGGTATTTCCTGAGCATTCCCTAAATCACTACTGCTCTCCTGAAGTATGACATCTGTCAGGTGAAATTTAAGAGTATGTGAACTGTTCATCCTGAGCAATGCACATATGTTTATTTTGACAAGTCTGAAGAAACCTACAGATATTACATTGGACCAGCTGAATCAGTTTTATGGTTTCTTTTTAATTCAAAAGCATCACATAGCAAATGAAATTTTAAAAAATTAAGTTTAGTTACAAACTAGTTGTTTCTTATTTTTTTTTCCAGTCCCTTTTTGCTTTCTTTTACGACCACATGAGACTTGAGAAGCCACCTAAAGCTAACTCATTTAGTGGAGTTGGGCAGTTCCCAAGTGTCCGACAAGAAGGCCTGGTTTAGGCTGCGATGGCCACTGTCATTCCTGGTGACTTGTCAGCAGTGAGAGATACCCAGAAAGTCCCTTCAGGGAAACGTAAGCGTGGTGAAACCAAACCAAGAAAAAACTTCCCTTGCCAACTGTGTGACAAGGCCTTTAACAGTGTTGAGAAATTAAAGGTTCACTCCTACTCTCACACAGGAGAGAGGCCCTACAAGTGCATACAACAAGACTGCACCAAGGCCTTTGTTTCTAAGTACAAGTTACAAAGGTATTAAACTCTACTTGTCTTTCAGATTATATTTTTATTATGTTGGCCATTTTAAGCCATTGTAAACATATATACTTGTATATACATTTTTTAGTTAATTTGCAAAGAGGAAATGTTTACTACTTAGACATTGGCTAGTTTTTTGTGTTCTAAACAACCTACTTGTGTGTGTTAATATCTTTGGAATTTTTTTAAATAAAATGTTAAATGACAGTAAAATTTCCATTTGTACAAAAATTACTACAAGAATAGGAACTGAGAATGTGTGGTTATGGACATCTGTGTGAGTATATTGTCTTCCACACATGCTTTTGTAATGCTAGCTAAGAAGAAGCAAAAACTAAAGTGGCAACCTAAAGGGCTTAGGCTTTGCAATGTTTAGGTCTATTAATGATCCCTATGGTATGCTGTAAGTTAAAATATTTCCATTATTAAGGGAATTCTGTTCTAGTCTAGTTTAGCTTCCATTTGAAAAGTGTATACATTGCCATGTTTATCACAATATGTACTTACAGAATATATCTATGTTTAAAGGCACATGGCTACTCATTCTCCTGAGAAAACCCACAAGTGTAATTATTGTGAGAAAATGTTTCACCGAAAAGATCACCTGAAGAATCACCTACATACACACGACCCTAATAAAGAGACGTTTAAGTGTGAAGAATGTGGCAAAAACTACAATACCAAGCTTGGGTTTAAGCGTCACTTGGCCTTGCATGCTGCAACAAGTGGTGACCTCACCTGCAAGGTGTGTTTGCAGACTTTTGAGAGCACAGGAGTGCTTCTGGAGCACCTCAAGTCTCACGCAGGCAAGTCATCCGGAGGCGTGAAAGAGAAGAAGCACCAGTGTGAGCATTGTGACCGCCGGTTCTATACCCGAAAGGATGTCCGCCGGCACATGGTAGTGCACACTGGAAGAAAGGACTTCCTCTGTCAGTATTGTGCACAGAGATTTGGACGGAAGGATCACCTGACTCGACATATGAAAAAGAGTCACAATCAAGAGCTTTTGAAAGTCAAAACAGAACCCGTGGACTTTCTGGATCCATTTACCTGCAATGTTTCTGTGCCTATAAAAGATGAGCTACTTCCAGTGATGTCCTTACCTTCCAGCGAACTGTTGTCAAAGCCATTCTCAAACACATTGCAGTTAAACCTCTATAACACTCCGTTTCAGTCCATGCAGAGTTCAGGATCAGCCCACCAAATGATCACAACTTTACCTTTGGGAATGACATGCCCCATAGACATGGATGCTGTTCACCCTTCTCACCACCTTTCTTTCAAATATCCCTTCAGTTCTACCTCATATGCAATTTCTATCCCTGAAAAAGAACAGCCTTTGAAAGGGGAAATTGAGAGTTACCTAATGGAGTTACAAGGCGGTATGCCTTCTTCATCCCAGGATTCCCAAGCATCGTCATCTAAACTTGGGTTGGATCCTCAAATCGGGCCCCTAGATGACGGCCCAGGGGAACTCTCCTTGTCCAAAAGCTCCATTTCTATTAGTGATCCCCTCAGCACACCAGCGTTGGATTTCTCCCAGTTGTTTAATTTCATACCATTAAATGGGCCACCTTATAATCCAATATCAGTGGGGAGCCTTGGAATGAGCTATTCCCAAGAGGAAGCGCATTCTTCTGTCTCTCAGCTGCCCCCACAAACACAGGATCTGCAGGATCCAACCAGCACTATAGGTCTTGGGTCTCTACACTCTCTGTCCGCAGCCTTCACCAGTAGTTTAAGCACAAGCACCACCTTGCCACGTTTCCATCAGGCTTTCCAGTAGGATTGGGTGTGGATTTATCACAGAAATATCTATGTAGCCCTACATTAGATGATCATTTTTATTTTAGTGCCTGCCTTAAGACAATATAAAAATATCTGCTTTTGTAGAGAACCAGTTTTCAATAAGCCAGTATGAAATCCAAATTAGCTTGTTAAATGAGCTTCCGAACTGTTGGGCTCAATTGTGTTTACCTGGGTATTTTGTCCTAATTCACTGCCAGTTGTCATATTTTAAGATCTTTTTGTTCCCATATGGGAGAGCCATTATTAGTAAAGTTTTTCATATTCCCTTTTCAAATTACATTTAATTTCTAAAAATTTTAACCAAGAATAATGGCCCTACCTTTTGACATTTGGCTCATTTAAAGTTTTTGCTACAGAACAAAACTTTTATAAAATTTATATGAAAAAATAGCTTAAAATTTTTTTTAACTCTCCAAATTGATCCAAAAGCAAGTGTTTCAAATGAAGTAAGAATTCCATTTGGAGCGATAACAGATTTTCTTAGGTATTTCACAATTTCAAGTCAATATAATTTTGAAGACTTATTATCTGACTAAAATTCTTGTCTTTATGAGCATATACTGAAAAGGTAAACCTAAACACAAAGCATCAGTATTTATAAGGGGAAAAAAAATACTCATAGGAAAGTAACATGGTATTTAATGTTACTTAATAGTTGAGCATAAATTAGTATACAAAATGTTTTACTACGTTTCGATTTCTTTACTTGCCATCTTCCCATTTAATAACAATAAATCTTCAGAGACAGTATGTAGCTCTTTATACTTTTCCACCATCCACAGCAAAATGCATCAGTCAAGTACAGACAGAAATTTCATATTTGAATGTTGGTCCACAGGTAGTTAGGAATCTAAGATCCAGTGTGGAACTCTAGGGATTGACTGTGTTTGTCTTAGATTTTGTGACGGATCCCTAAGCAGGACGATAGAAACTTGGAGACCGATTAGGAGGTCTCCTCTTGTCAAGTTTGAAAGCTGGGCTCTTTAGAGAAAAAGTAAAAGCACATTGCTTACACTGTGACTTTCTGAATCCCGTATATTTTTCTCCCTCAAGGGCCAAAAGTAGAAGTCAGAAACAACACCCTGAACCCATGGTATCTTTTTATTCGGTGTTAATCTGTTCTTAAAATTTGGGGATGGTGAACTTCAAGCTAAATATTTTAGGAAACTAATTGAGGATTACCAGAGTTTTCAGTGACTAAAAATATGTACAGTAAAATACCACTTTTATAGATTTCTAGGAAATGGGAATATTGCAAGTAAGTTGAATTCGTGGAGTGCGGACAGAGTAAAATAAAACACACAGTATCTTTAAAAATACAAAAATAACAGCCGAGGGTATTTTGTTCACTACTTAAAATGGTTATTAGAGGGCTTTCCTCATTTCTACCATCATCTTCTCACAGGTGAAACTACTATAGCTTCCCTAGGTGTCAGTAGAGACATTAGCCTAAGAAACATCAAGCATTTATTAACATCTATCTTAGAGCCCTGTTAGTCAAGGTAGGGTTGGAGAGGAGACTTATCAAAGTGAATATATCTCTTTAAGAAGGAAAAGGCAGGAAAATATTTCTGAGTGCTCACTAGCCCTACAGAAATGCTGGGTTTTTTTTTTAATAGGATTATCCCTGCAGATGGAGATGTTTACCAAGAATGTCTAAAAATGAGTGCATATTGATGAGTATAATACATTATTTAAAAGATTTGAGGCTAGGATAATTTGTGGAGAAATGTAAATTGTAATATTGTATGATGGAGAATTCACCATATATGATGTATATTTGTATATGTATGTATACAAGTATATATGTATATATCTATATGGCGAAACCTCCATATATTTACACGTATCGCACTTCATAGAATCAAAACTGCTCTCGCAAGGAGCTTTGGCTCCTGTTATTTGATTATGCTCCTTTTTTTTTTTTTTAGTCCTAGGAGCAGTAGTTTTTATACTTAAATATTTAAATTTTATTATGAAAAATTACATTTTATAAAGAAAATTGTGTTCCAAAGGCATTAAAATTATATATATTAATAAGGAAATGCATTTAAATTTTTTTCAAACTTCTCCTAAGATTTTGGTTAGGAGAATATTTGCTCTGAAAGTAGACATTTAGCTCTGCTTCATTAAGGCTTCCTTTAGTTTCTGTGAAACAGATTGCTTACCTAAATGTTTAGTTGAATGATTAGTGTTCAATATTGCTTTAATCATTAAGTAAAAAGAGAAAATAAATTTGGTGACAGCACAAATATATAGAAAACTTTTTACTTAAAAAAAATAGTAAGTATGAAAGATACTGTTTTATTCTGCCTAAAATTCGCTTAACCAGAAGTCAAATTAATGAACTTAGACAGTGGCCTTAGTAGGCTGTATTTCACTGCTAATTTAGGGGAGGTGGGGTGGGGGAGGGGAGATTATGAGGATTATATATGTATATGTAATTTTTTAAGTCTAATTCTCACCCTGTGTGGAATTAAATACCCGGAGGCACATCTTTCAGTGCATCAGTGTTTAAAAGTATGGAATCTTAATTTTCATACATACACCTCTTTGCTGCCCCATGGACTTGAAATAACAGTTCAAAATAAGGGTGAACTCAGCTCTTTTGCTTTTTAAAATATGACTGTAGTGGTCACTAAACTAAACCCTTTTTAAAAGAATCTGTTAAAGACAAGGCAGACTTGTATGTTTTAATTGCATAATGTTCTAACAAGGATGTAACACAGAATTGGCTTTCCCCCACCCTTTGCACCTCCTTAGGAAAAGTTTGTCATTTGTTATGTCATCCAGATGTAACTGAAAGTGATGATTGCCAATGCTGTTTTCATTCTCCAGTGGCCAGAATCATTATCCTTGAAATTTCTGGGAGTGCCTTAGCTTGGTAAAAAAGGGATTGTCATTAAATCTATTAAATTAATTCTAATGACATTAATTTAATGTCATTAAATCTAGTTTAGAATTTGGACCTCAGACAAGATATTGAACCTCATTCAGTTTGAACTTCCACTTTGTGTCTACATTGTATCATATGACACAGAGTTTGAGTGTGGAAGACTCGACACTGTAAGCAATATTAACAGTTCATGTATACAAATATTAATAGTTCCTGGTCACTGTCAAAACTTTTATTTTAAATTCCTATTACCAAGTTCAGTTTTGTTTTGTTTTTAACTTCAGTTGCCCTAGCTGATCGTGCAACATTCTTTGTGCAACTTTTTAAAGTTTCCTCTACTGCTGCTTTCAAGCAATGTATTTTTGTCTATTTGTTGCTTATGCTTTATTACTGTTAGGCATTTGTGGGATATAGTGATATATTGTGTTCATTGGGACAGTAGCGGTTTCTAGAAGCCATATACTGACTGAAACATGAGCCAGAGCTGATTGCTTTATTAAGCTAATAATGAATGTTAATGAGTACATATTTTCAGGATCTAGCGAGCAATACACATATTATAGACCATTTTTTAATAAAGCTTGGGCAGCCTCTATATTACACATATAACAAGATATAGCACTTTCAAAATGAATCTAAACCTTTACAGAAACTTTTGTTATAGGTTATGCCTTTTCTTTTAAGACATAATTTGTTCCAAGTGCCATTAGATGATACATAGGCCTTTAGTATATAATGCTTTGTGTACAAAAATGGTAGATGGTATTTTAAACAGGTACGTTTTTACAGTGTTTTCTTATCAATTTGCTATATTGCACAGACTCAGTGTGTCTTTTCATAAGGTTTTACAATGGTTTATTTTTTTACAAGGTTTACGTATCTCAAAACACACTGTCTTCCCGGTATGTAAGTTAAAATAGACCAGTTCACCCAAGTTGCTTCTAGCCTACTGAGATCCATATGAAGTTGGAGGAGATATTTAAAATGTTGAGTATTCACCATTAATAATGGCAAACTGTTATCTCTGACAGGTGAGTGCCTGACATTGCATTTGTCTTGTTTTTTCTCTCTGTGTCAGCTGCCATGTCTTTTACATGGATAATCTATTGTGATTACATTAAAGTTGTGTTGTATGGTTTTGCTCTATATGTGTGATCCATACAGAGCTCTTTTTTGACCTTATGAAATAAGATATGACTACCTAGGCCTCTTAGATCGCCTGTAGACCCTTCGGGAATGTTACCAACCTTCTGAGGATGAAGGGCAGTATCTTTTGATATGTTATGTAGCTCAAGAAATGACACCAAACTATTGCTGATGTATAAAACACTTCTGTTGTATAAGCTTCAGTGGTACAGACGAACCAGAATGAATGTTTATCTTCTCAGAAACACTCCTTCAATATATTATGTTGGATCATGCTGCTAATGTAACTTGGGATACAACTCTTCATGGTGCCACAATCTTCTCTGTCTTGTTCAGTTGTATTTTTTTAATGCATAGATAAAGGACTGCATTATGTGTAAAGGTGTACAATATATTTTTATACTGTGACTTAATTTGTCATTAACAATCTTTTACATCACCACAATGTATTCATGTACACTTCCAAAAGGAAATCTTGGACACGCAAATGTTACCAGAACAAACCCAGCTTTTGTCAACCAGATGACTGTAACTTAAGTGGAAAGTGGGCTCTGTGATATGGTGTGGAGTGAAGAACATGCTGTATGTTACTAACAGCCCTTTGAATTTAACAAAAACTGGGAATCGATTAGGAAATGTTTTGCAGCATGCTTAAGTAGAAGCTGGACTGCTGAAAATGTATTTTTAGCTAATAAAGAAGTGTTTGAACTAGTACTCTAAAATTGTTCTAATGATAATGTTTTGAGTCAAAATAGAAAAGGAAAAAGTATGCATTCCAGGCTGAATTTTGTATATTTTTATTGCATTTAAATGAGCTATTCTGTGATATTGGGAAATCCAATGGCTTATCATGTATGTCATGTATTTAAAATGTATTTACAAACTACTGTTGTATTTGTATAAAATACAGACAAAGATCATATTTTTGTGTGTGTATAAACTCTGTAAAATAGCTATCGCATTTTGAAATTGCAGTGATATACAACATTTTAACCATTCACATTCCAAAGAAGGCGACTATTTACTGTCCAGATACCCAGATATAAAATACTAACTTGCTGCTAATTAAACAATAGTACTGCAGCTTCTGTGGCCTACAGTATTATGTTTGCTGTAAGAAAATGTGTGAATTCCACAAAATATATGAATAAAATTATAGAATGGCTTTAGATAATATAGATATTACTGAAATAGATGATGATTTTCTATTTGGGTTAACATTTTCTCCACATAAATTTTAAATATTTTCTCATTAGATAGATACAAAATTTCAGTAGCTGGCTCTAGGACAATTGTTAATTGTTGAAATGTAAAGTTCTAGGTTTATTTTTAAACGCTTGTAATTTTGAGGGAGGGACAGAAATGTAAATTAGTAAATTAGTCAAAAGCTAATGCAGGAAAACTTTAATCCAGGCAAGTTTAGAGTTCAAAAAAGGCTATTCAAAAGTTTACATTAATAGTATTTGATGTTGTGTGAGATAATACCTGCAGTTAGCATTCACTTAACACTTTGTACTGTAAAGTATTATTTTAGAAACTCCCCGTCGTCTGTTGACCTAAAATTTTGCTGAAGAAGGCTCTCTTGACAATTCATCAGGATCAAAAAAGCAAGTGCATACCGTTTCATTTCATTCACAACCCATCAAATAGTAATGCAACTTCCAAATCAGGAAACCAACTGTTGAAATAATATTCGGTGAAGCTCAGCCTCTCTTTGAGTATAGTGGAAGAAGCAAGCCTCCCTTACCTTTGGTCCTACTGCAAGGCTCTCCTATGTCAAAGGGTAAAGGGTTCTAACAGTGATACTAGTGTCAGCAGTTCTTTCCTGCTTTCGCATGTTTAAGTACTTAATTTTTAGTATTATAACATTTTTATTTGATTGCTTGCATGTAAAGTATTTCAATAACTGTTTACAGAAAAACAGCGCTTTGTACAGTGCCTACGAGTATTGGTGTTCGGTACTCTGTCAAGTCGGTTCTGGCTCACAGTGACCCTGTGCACAGCAGAACAAACACTGCCCAGGCCTGCGCCAGCCGCGTACTTTTTATGCTTGCACCCGTTGTTCCCAGGCTTCCTCCCCCTTATTAGAAAACTAATCAGAAACATAGTTTGCTTATTGTAGCATAGACTAATGGGGCCAAGAAACTTTTATGTAGTGTCACTGTTAAAAGTTCACACTCGTGGTTTATTAAGGAGAGGAAAAGTGTAGTCTGGCTATGGAAAACTTGAGTTTCTCTGTTATCTTTAATTGAACATTTATTCATCAGGCACTCAAGCCAAGGGTCATGGGTTTGTGGTAAATCGTGGGAGTGCTCTATAAAGAAGTCGGTCCCATAGAAAGGAGAAAAATTGTTTCTAATCAAGTATCAGAGTAAAAAAACGGCAGTACCATTGTAACTGGAGGAAAGCCTAAGTACTGCATTAAGCCATACACGTGGAGCTCTCTTTTCTACAGATCAATAAGATTTCTGTACTGAAGGTTTTGATTCTTGCTTTGTTTCAATTATCATTATTTATAGGACCCAGTTTTACACCTTGAAGGAACTGGAAACACTTTTCTCTCTGATGCTCCACTATCAGTCAGAGACCCGACCCCCTAGATCCTGACTGCTTTAGAAATTCAATAGGTGGGGGGGCAGTGTATAATGGAGACTATGTCCATTAAGAAATTATCTGTACTAATTTTGGCTGCCATTACTACAGATGAAAATAGGTTCCCCCAATAAGTTTTCCCTGGAAAATGTCCACAGGTTAACCTTGCTTTTCCTCAATAAGTGCATACTTAAATGTAGACTGACATTTTTTATAACTGTGCAGTGGTGACTT